GGGGGGGGTTGCCCGATCGGCCGATTTTAACAGCACAAACACCGAGAAATTAGGCAAAAAGTGAGCTGTTTTCTTAACTTTCTTCACATTGTTTTTTCCTATTTTACCAGTAGATCCATTCCCCCTTGAAACACATATTCTTTGTCACCACATGAAGAAACCGATATTGTAAATTTTGCGTAGCCTATGTGAAAATGGACGTCCGGAAGAAGGGGAGTTTGGCGCCACCGCTGAACCGGGAGAGCGGTGAGCTGGACTACCTAGTCGGTAAACGAGCGATACAGCGGCTAAGTCCCGGCCGACCCCTTATCTAACGAGCCCCCCCAAAAAGTTGTCGCCATCTATTGATATGCTGCACCCCGCGCATCAAAACGCACAAATCAGAACATGTTGCGCGAACAAATTTTTTTTATTGCCGTCAGCGACTGAGTGGAATGGATCGTTCCCTGGAGCGGCCGTCCGTATCTCGCCTCTCTGGCTCAGTCGGTAGAGCGCCCGCTCAGAGCGAGGGGTGGGCGACTTGAATTTTCGTGTACACAGGAGTACGGAGTACACGAGTACACCGGAGTACAGTCGGAGTACGCGGAGAACTTGCGACGAAAATAGCCGGAGTCCACGGAGTACAGTAGGAGTACAATCGGAGAAGACCTGGAGTACATTTTGGCCTGTACACATGAGCCGCCCAGTCGTCCACCCCTCGGCTCAGAGCGTCGAGGGTCGACGGTTCGACTCTAGGCTCGGCAAGACTTTTCGCCCTCCGTTTGGCGCTAGGTGTAAGGCCTAAGAGCCGACCTAAAGTTCAAGTAGAGTTTGAACACGGCTTTCCCGTTGGCTGGGTAGCTCTGGTGGCAGGGTCGCTGTCACTGTCGAATGGACATAGCGGCCGCTGTGGATAAAGCTCCGGTTCCCTCGATCACCGCAGACGCCCACAGACTAAGGCTGCATCAGCTTAAGCGGGAAGCAGAACCCTTAGAGAGGGGTTGAAAGTCAGACATTGAACCAGAATGGACTGTTTCGCAAGTCTTGGGATATCTTGAAGTACTTTATTCCAGGTATACTTGTTCAATTCCAGGTTTTCACTCCACCCTAGCGGCCAGCCGCCCGGACTGCGCCGGTGAAATAGAGGTTCCACCCCTCCCCCCCTCCCTCGACCCTTGTGTCTGTTAACACTTCACTCAAGCAACCAGGGCACATTCCCAGAGAAATGCTTTACAGGAATGGGGCACTGAACGCAAACTTTCATTCGGCACAGTATTGACACCTGGTGCTTTGGTGCTTTACTGATGTCATTATGAACAAGAAAATTACGAACAAGAAAATAAAGGACACACACTGTTAAAAATGATTGTTCACAGATGAACATAGGAACGATGTGCAGCTCATGTTTAAACAAGCCTGCTGTTTTGAATGTGAGATGAGGTCTTGTACTAAAACAGTAAATATCTCGTCTTTTATATTGCAAAAACTTTGTTTTCTAATGATACGTCTCATCATGTCCCTCATTGTTTTAAAACAAAGTTTTGTTTGGAAATGAACTTTTTGTTTAAAAAGAAATTTGTCGTTCGAAGATGATTTTTGTTGTTTTTAAATTAACTTTGTGTTTGAGGATGAACTTTTTTGTTCGGTAATGAATTTTTTATTTCAAAACAAGTTGTGTGTTTAAGGATGATTTTTTTTGTTATGCATGTAGAATTATTTTCTTGTTTGAAGATGAACTTTTTGTCCAGTGACTAATTCTTTGTTTGAA